CCTCGGGGAATGGTCTCTAGCTTATGGCATGCTTGGATCCTGTATGTAGCCATGTCGTTCAGCAGCCTGCCATGCTCTGCTGACCTTGGGACTTTCAATGGATTTGAATTAATGGCCTGCCATGTGGTTTGGTAACATTGGGACTGTGCCTTTTTACTTGTCAGCCTTGGGCTTGTCAACCTCAGCAGCCAGTAGCTGAGTGAAGAAAAGCCCCAGCTTCAGTGAGCCAGGAGCAGGAGGCAGAGCTGAAGCCCAAGGCTGAGGAGCTTTCACCCAGCCCCGAGAGCCTGGCACTTCGAACTCACATTTAAAGCCTCCAAACTGTAAGAGAATAAACTCCTGTTTGTTAAGGCCATCCCATGGTGGTATATTCTTGTCAGAGTGGCACTAGGTACCAGAACAGATGGACTCAAATATTCTAAGAATGTGAGGATGGCACAGGACTGGGCAGTGTTTCCTTCTGTTGTACACAGGGTCACTATGAGTCAGGGTGGACTCAATGGCACCTAACAACAGCAATAACAACCTTTAGTCAAGCATAGAGTTAAATTCTAAACACAGAAGTTCAAAGGTCAAGAGGCCATTCCCCTGCCTGCCTAGCCCCTACCCCACCCCCCACCATCCACAGCATAAGGGAACCAGAGGTCTTTCCAGCTGGGGAGGTTCATTCAAAATGTGAAGTTGGCCCCTCTCCATCATGGGCAGCCTTAGGATTTCAATAACATCAAATCTCTGAGGAGAGATTTTGGGAGAGAGGGCCACCACCTTAGCAACAAGGAATGGATCCAAGATTAGTGAGTGGTGGAAATGCCCCAAAGTCTATTGGTCTCCCTTAAACTCTAGCGTCCCAGGCTAGGACCTGGGGTCACACTGAGGGATTCCTGCCATGTCCATCCTCATAAGCACTGATGTCAGAAATATAGCTCCAGACCACAATTTCCCATAATTAGCTTTTGAGCTGTGGTTTTTATGGGCTCCTTTCTTGCCCCTCCTCAGGATATTATTATGGATTACTAGCAGCTTCAGCATCTTTCCAACTGGCAAGATATAGTGCAAACACAGATGGAAGATTCCCAGTTAAAATCCTCTTAACAAAGTCATAAAACAAGAAAGCCCAGCCCCTCCATCAGGCTGTCAGCTCAGGAGCCAAGTGAGAGAGGGAGAGATGGGAGAGTGCCTTCCTGCCTTTGCTAGATGGGTTTTAAAGGAATCAAGTGTGTGTATTTTGTGGGGGGTGGATTGTACACTGCACACCTGAGGGCTTTTAAGTTTAATAATCCATGTGCTGTGAAGGGAAAATGAGGGCTGGGAGCAGCAGGCCAGGGTAGCACTCTTCCCTCTCCCTGGAGGCTGGTGCTCTCTGCTCACATGGGAACATGGTGCCAACACAGAGGTACTGACATGGACCTTGGTTGGATTTAGCAAGAGGCCTGATGCAGTGCTAGACACTCTGAGGCACCCAGAAATGACCCTACCCCAAGGAGACCCAGACCTGGGGGGCATCCTGGCTCAGTCACTGTCTGACACTGGGCCTTCATACTGATGCTGTTGTTAGCTACGGTCCAGGTTGTCCAGTTGGCCCTTGACTCAACAACCTCATCTGCAAAAGAACAAAACACTGCCTGATCCCATATCCTCCTCATGATCAATTGCAGATCTGACCATTGTGATCCACAGCGTTTTCACTGGCTGACTTTCAGAAGTAGGTCACCTTTCTTCCTAGTCTGTTTCAGTCTGGAAGCTCCATTAAAATCTGTTCAGGATCATAGAAACACACAGGCCTCCACTGACAGATGATTGATGGTTCCACAGGAGGGACACTGGTCAAGAATAGAATTTAGGTCTCTCATATGCCCCCACCAAGCCTCCATATCACCACCTATAAAATGTCTGGGGTGGACATCCCTAGTGTGACATTCTACAAGATCCCTGGTGAGCAATGTACACAGCAGCAAAGAATCAAATGCTGAACTGTACAACCAGACTGCAAATTGGTTTGCGCATTCACAGGTTCCAGAGCCCACCGTGTCCCTTACATCTCTACATCTTTGCATGTCCCTCTGCTAAGAGCCCTCTTCTCTCACCATTCCCTATGGCTGAGCCCAAACATCACTTCCTCAGGGAAGCCTGTTGTGGTAGTTAAGGTTGTGTGTCAACTTGGTTGGGCTTGATTTTAAGTGGCTGGGCAGCTCGTTGAGTTATTCCCCATGATGAGACTAGCAATCAACTCCATGGTAGAATCTGCCATGAGTGGACGAGTAGCTGTTTTAGGGATGTGGTCTGCTTCTTAAGGGAAAGCTTTGGGAATGGTCTGAAGGTTTTCGGCACATTTGAATCCTGCATGTAGCCCAGTCATCATTCAGCAGGCTGCCATGCTGTCTGCCAATTTTGGGACTGTTAATGGACTTGAATTAGTGGCTTGCTTTGTGGTTTGGTAATATCAGGATTGTGCCTTTTTACTTGTCGACCTTGGGTTTGTCAGCCTCAACAGCCAGCAGCTGCCTGAGTGAAGAAAGCCTCCAGCTTCAGTGGGCTGGGAGCAAGAAGCAGAGCTGAAGCCCCAGGTCGAGGGGCTTTCACCCAGCGCCTAGAGCTTGGCACTCTGAATGTGGACTTCTAGACTCCAAAACTATAAGAGAATGAATTTCTGTTTGTTGAAACACACACCCCATTTGTGGTATTTTCTGTTAGAGTGGCACTAGGTAATCAAAACACCTGCCCAATTCCCTGACGTGATCAATCATTCCTCTATGAGCCTGCATTCCAAATAATGACTAGTCTACTAGTCTGCCTCCTTTCTTGGCCAGAGCACTGTCTTTCTATGTCCCAGCTCTTGTGGTGCTGAGTGCAAAGGGAGATACTCTAGGCAATCTCTTGAGCTGTGAACGGCAGCAGTGCCCCACAGACTTTGGTCTGTCCACTGATCCAGTTCATCCCCAAGTCTGGCCTTTTATTTTCTGAAAACTCTGGAGACTCAGGCTTTATTGCCTCAATTCTGGGGTAACTGATAAAACCTCTTGCTTACCCCCAGCTGCTTGCTCATTATGCAAATACACCACTTTCTCCACATGGACCTAAATATACAACTAACAACACATGTGCACATACACATTCACTTATAACTTTAACCTGCATACACAGCAACAGCCTGGAGCCATCCATGTGTCCTCCTTCTACCTTCCTCAACAGTAGAGCTGAGGAAACCTCAAACATCCTTCTAGAAACCTCAGCACATCCCCCAGACACCCCATACTCGAGCGGAGAGGCAAACCCACAGAAAGCACACTTCAAAGTACAAATAATCAGGAGACAGACCTCCCTGAAAAGCCTCAGTGAACACTTGCCTGCTGCCAATGGAATTCACCTCTATCTTCTCATTGCTTTTGTCTCTCTTATATCACAGTCTTGTAAAAGGGCAATTAGTTTTGGACAATTAAAATGATTAACTCACCAGATGTAAGTGCTGAAGCATCTCCACGTATCTGCAGAGGGAAAGAGGGTTGAGTCTGCATTAATTCCCATCCTGAACAAGCCTGGGAGGGGTGATGTTTTGTTTACAAGCTCAAGGCCACAGGCAGCTGCCTGGGGACTCACGCTTTCTCTGAAGTCAGCAGTTCCTGTGCGATGACATGGGCTCTGGACTGTCCTTCCACCTGTGGGAGGAAATATAGCAATCAGCAGGGGTGGGTATCAGTGAGGGAAGCAGACAGGAGACCTTGCTCCATAAGCATTAGGTTTTTAGGCTAGGCCACCAGGCTGCTTGAGGAGAATGCCTTTTTACTTGTTGACCTTGGGTTTGTCAGCCTCAACAGCCAGCAGCAGCCTGAGTGAAGAAAGCTTCCAGCTTCAGCGGGCTGGAGCAAGAAGCAGAGTGGAAGCCCCAGGTCAAGGGGCTTTTCAGCCGCATCCCTGGCACTCATTACCTGTGTGATCTTCATCAAGTTACTTTCCCTCTCTGTACCCGTTTCCTGCAAATGTGCATATTAATAGCAACCAACTCAGAAGGTTGAGAAAATGTCCAGTCTGGCCCCTGGCACAGAGTAAATGCTGGATAAAGGGCCACTATCACAATTACATGGCCTTTGTCTCCTCCCCAGTCACCCCTAGCAATCTTGTGGTTCTCTGTACATACCAAGCTCTCTTACCTTCTTGCTTTTGCAAGAGAAAGGAACATCCTATTCCTGTGTCCTTTCCCCCTTCCCTGCCTTAGTGTGGTATCACCTCTCCCAGGAAGCCTTTCCTGTTACCCTTCTAGAACCCACTGGGTTAGGTATTCTCTCTGAGCATCCTCCTCTCATGACACCTATATCAATTTTGTCTCCTCTGGAAGGAAGAGATGAGTGCCTGGCATATAGTAAGTTCTCCTTTGTTGACTGAATGGAAGGAAGGAAGGGAAGAAGGAGGGAGGGAGAGAAGAAAGGGAAGGAAGGAAGGGAGAAAGGGAAGAGGGAGGAAGGGAGGGAGGAAGGGAGGGAGGAAGGAAAGGAAGGAAGGAAAGAGGCAGGCAGGCTTTTCATTCTCCTTGGAAAGCACTAACTATGCTGATTTCCCTTACAAGGTAAGCCATTTAACCCAGTTACTGGTTAACTGAGCCCCAGTTCCCAGACTTGTAAAATCTGAGGATACACTGAAATTATGTTTGTAAACAGGAAGGGCAGGCGGAGGCTGAGGCAGATGTCTGGGCTTCTGCCACAAACATGCCTCTTCTCTATGGCCCAAACTGGCTGGTATCAGATATGGCTGATGACTGGGATCCAGAGGTGCAAAGGTACTACAGGGGAGCCAGACAGAGCAGATGGTGGACACTGAAAACATGTAGGCATGATGGGGTGGGACGTGGATTCTAGTTCCAGCCCCATCACTGCCCTGGGTGCTACCCCACACAAGTCATGTGTCATGTGTGGACAAAGCAAATTCCCTTCTTTGCCAAACCTTATGTGTTACTGGTCAAAGGAATAATCACCTCTAGTGATAGAAACTCACTACCTTCTGGGATAGCAGCAACTGGATAGTGTTGTGGTTCAGAGCATGGACTCTGGGATTAGGCAGTTTGGATTCAAATTCTACCTCTTAGTATTTAAAAAAGTCAGTTAACCTCTCTGTCTCAATTTTTTATCTGTGAAACAGGCAGAAGTATATATCACACATGCTTTTTGGGAGGATTAAATGGGTTAATATATTTTAACACTCGGAACAGTGCCTGACACATAGTAAGCACTACAGAAGTACTGGCTATCATTATTATTATTATTGTTGGAACGATGTTGGAACTAAATATCCAGAAAAAAGTCATTTACAGAGTCAAGCAGGGGAAAGTCTTCACATACAGAAAGAGGGGTAAGCTAAGACAGCAGAAAACAAATGGGCTCTGGAATCAGCCACATCCAAATTCAAACCCTGGCTCCAATACTGTTTAATTATATGACCTTCAGTAAGCCATTATCTCTGAGTCTGTTTTTTCACCTGAAACATGGTGAAGAAGAATCAACCCAATCACACACATGCTGGTCTTCTTGATGAATGACTCAGGGCCTCTGTGCATGCTTTCCCTCTTGTAATGTTCTTCCTCAGATCCTCTCATTCTCACTTTCTTTTTCCAATATCTGCTCAAAAGCCACATCCTTGGCACAGCCATCCATGACCATTCTATCTAAAGAATGCTCAAACTCATTCTCCACCCCAGGGTTTCCCAACCTTGGCACTACTATTGTGGATCAGATAGTTCTTTGTGGTGGGGGCTGTCCTATGTATCGTGAGATATTTAGCAGTATCACTGGCTTCTACCTAATGGATGCCCATAGTAAGCCCCTTCTTAATTGTGATAACCAAAAATGTTTCCAGACATTGTCAAATGTCCCCTGAAGGGTAAAATCTTACCTCTGGTTGAGAACTCCTGCTCTTTTTATCTTGCTGTACTTTTATTTATAGCAGGGACAGTACTTAATGTTATATGCAGATGTTCAATAAATATTTGAATAAACTAATGAAATGAGAAACCATGCTGGGCACACAGTAGGGGCTCAAGAAATGAGTTCCTGAATAGAGACTTCCGGTAAGATGGCGGAATAGGCAGAAAGAACGCACAGACCCTCTTCAACAAAGAAAAGGGGAACCAATGAACACAGACACAGAAGATAATCATGGACCCCTGAGCTTTGAAAGGAAGGATA